AGTAGTAGTAGTAGTAGTAGTAGTAGTAGTAGTAGTAGTAAAAGTGGTAGTAGTAGTAGTAATAGTTGTGGTGACTCTTACCAGCAGTAGCTGTAGCAATATCAATAGTAGTAGTCGTCGTCGTCGTCGTAGTAGTAGTGTTTCGTAGTAGTAGTCGTAGTAGTAGGGAAAGTCGTAGTCGTAGTCGTAGCAGTAGTAGTAGAAGTAGTCTTAATAGTCGTAGTAGTAGTAGTTGTTGTTGTAGTGGTAGTTGTAGTTGTAGTCGTAGTATTTGTGGTAATAGTAGTACTAGTAGCAGTAATAGTAATAGTAGCAGTAATAGTACTAGTAATAATAGTTGGGACTTTAATAGTAGTAGTGAAAGCAGAAAAATAGCAGTAATAGGAGTAGTACCAGTAGTAATAATAATAACACTAGTGATAGTAATAATACGAGTAGCAGTAGTAATAGTAACAGTAATGGTAATAGTAAGAATACTATTATTAGTAATAGTAATAATAATAGCAGTAGTAAGAGTCATAATAATAGGAATAGTAGTAATAGTAATAGCAGTACTAGTAGTAGTAGTAGTAGTAGTAGTAGTAGTAGTAGTAGTAGTCGTAATAATGGTAATAGTAAAAGTAGCCGTAGTGAGAGTAGCAGTCAAAGTAGTAGTAGCAGTAGTAGTAGTAGTAGCAGTCATAGTAGTGGCAGTAGTAGCAGTAGTCGCAGTCGTAGTCGTAGTCGTAGCAGTAGTAGTAGCAGTAGTAGTAGTAGTCGTAGTAGTAGTAGTAGTAGTAGTAATAGTAGTAGTCGTAGTAGTAGTAGTAGTAGTAGTAGTAGTCGTAGTAGTACTAGTAGTAGTTGTAGTAGTAGTAGTAGTAGGAGTAGTAGTAGTAGTAGTAGTCGTCGTAGTAGTAGTAGTAGTAGTAGAAGTAGTCGTAATAGTAGTAGCAGTAGTAGTAGTAGTAGACGTAGAAGTAGTAGTAGGAGTAGTAGTAGTAGTAGTAGTAGTGGGAGTAGTAGTAGTAGTAGTAGCAGGAGCAGTGGCAGTAGCAGTAGTAGTAATAGTAGTAGTAGTAGTAGTAGTAGTAGTAGTAGTTGTACTGGTAGTCGTCGCCGTGGTTGTTGTAGTCGTAGTCGTAGTAGTAGTAGTGGTAGTAGTAGTAGTAGTAGTAGTAGTAGTAGTAGTAGTAGTAGTAGTTGTAGTAGTAGTAGTAGTAGTAGTAGTAGTAGTAGTTATAGTGGTAGTAATAGCAGTAGTAGTAGTAACTTGTAGCAGCAGAAGCTGTAGCAATAACAGTAGTGGTAGTAGTCGTCGTAGTGGTAGTGTTTCGTAGTAGTAGTAGTAGTAGTAGTAGTAGTAGTAGTAGGGGTAGTCGTAGTCGCAGTCGTAGTAGTAGTAGTAGTAGCAGTGGTCTTAGCAGTCGGAGTAGTAGTAGTAGTTTTAGTAGCAGTTATAGTAGTAGTAGTTGTTGTAGTGGTAGTTGTAGCTATAGTCGTAGTACTTGTAGTAGTAGTAGTAGTAAAAATAGTGGTGGTCGTAGCAGTAGTACTAATAGTAGAAATAGTAGCAGTAATAGTAGTAGTGGTTGTACGTATAATAGTCGTAGTAGTAGTCATAGTAGTAGCAGCAGTAGTAGCAGTAGTCGTGGTCGTGGTCGTGGTCGTAGCAGTAGTAGTAGTAGCAGCACTAGTAGTAGTAGTAGTAGTAGTAGTAGTAGTAGTAGTAATAGTAGTAATAGTAATAGTACTAATAATAATAGTCGTAGTAGTAGTAGTAGTCGGAGAAGTAGTAGTAGTAGTAGTAGTAGTAGTAGTAGTAGTAGTAGTAGTAGTAGTAGTAATTGTAATAGTAGTCGTGGGAGTGGGAGTAGTAGTAGCAGTAGCAGTAGCAGTAGTCGTAGTAGTAGTAGTAGTAGTAGTAGTTGTTGTTGTACTAGTAGTCGCCGCCGAAGTAGTAGTAGTAGTAGTAGTAGTAGTAGTAGTAGTAGTAGTAGTAGTAGTAGCAGTGGTAATAGTGCTAGTAGTAGCGGTAGTAGTAGTAACGTGTAGTAGCAGTAGCTGTAGCAGTAACAGTCGTAGTAGTCGTCGTGGTCGTAGTCGTAGTAGTAGTAGTAGTAGTAGTAGTAGTAGTAGTAGTAGTAGTAGTAGTAGTAGTCTTAGTAGTCGGAGTAGTAGTAGTAGTAGTAGTAGTAGTAGTTGTTGTAGTGGTAGTTGTAGTTGTAGTCGTAGTACGTGTAGTAGCAGTAGCAGCAGTAGTACTAATTGTAGTAATAGTAGCAACAATAAGAATAGTAATGATAGTTGTAGATATAATAGTCGTAGTAGTAGTAGTAGTAGTAGTAGTAGTAGTAGTAGTAGTAGTAGCAGTAGTAGTAGTAGTAGCAGTGGTAGCAGTAGTCGTAGTCGTAATCGAGATCGTAGTAGTAGTAGTACTACTACTACTGCTACTACTACTAGTAACAGTAGTAGCAGTAAAAGTAGTAGCAGTGGCAGAACAAGTAGTAGTAGTAGTAGTAGTAGTAGTAGTAGTCGTAGTAGTAGTCGTAGTAGTAGTAGTAGTAGTAGTAGTAGTAGTAGTAGTAGTAGTAGTAGTAGTAGTAGTGGTAGCCGTTCTTAGCCGTGGTAATGGTAGCAGTCGTAGTAGTCGTAGTAGTCGTAGTGTCAATAATAGCCGTAGCAGTCGCAGTAGTAGTCGTAGTAGTAGCAGCAGCAGTAGTAGCTAGTACTAGTACTAGTACTAGTACTAGTACTAATACTAGTGTTAATACTAGTAGTCGTTGTCGTCGTAGTCGTAGGGAGGGGAAGAGGGGGAAAGAGGGAGGGAGAAGGAGGAAGTGAGGAGGGAAAGAGGGAGGACGAGAAGCGCCATGGTATGGGGTGAAGGAGGGAGGCGATGGAGTGGGGAGGACTCCGGAGGAGCACCGAGGAGTGCAATGGAATGGGGAGGGACGGAGAGAGGAGAGAGGAAGGAGGAGGGTGGAGGAAAGGGGAAGAGCGAGGGAGGAATGATGAGGAGGCAGGAGGAGGAGTGCCATGGAATGAGGAGGCGCAGCGAGTAGTGCGATGGAGTGGGGAGGACTCCAGAGGAGTGGGGAGGAACGCCGAAAAGAAAGATGGAGGGAGGAGTTTCGAAGAGTGGAGAGGGATGCCGAAAAGTGCGGTGAAGTGCGGAAAGGTACAGAGGAGTGGGGAGGAGTGCGGAGAGGGGGGACGAATGAAGTGAAGTGCGGAGGAGTGCCGAGGAGTGCGATGGAGTGCGGAGGAATGGGGGGCTCTGGAAGGCTCCTTGGAGGCCTCTGCAGGGTTCCTTGGAGGGCTCCTTGGAGACCCTGGAGGCCTCGGAGAGCCCAAAAGGCTCCTCGGCTTCTCCAAGAGACTCTTCAGAGAGCCCAAGAGGCTCTTCGGCGGCTCCAAGAGGCTCTTCGGCGGCCCCCAGAGGCTCTTCCGAGAGGCTCTTTGGTGAAGGGGGGGAGAGGAGACTCTTTGGAGACCCCCCCCCCTTCACCGTACTCGTTGATTAGTACCCTCCAGAGGAACCCTGGCCATACTAACACCCACTGGGCCGCACTAACAACCAAGGGGGCCACAGTGACAACTTATCTCGTCCCAGAGGGGGGGTCCTGGGGGGGTCCCGGGGGGGGTCCCAGGCCAGAATACCACCTCCCTCCTCCTCCTCCTGGGCGTCTTTTGCCACCTTCTCCATCTCCTTTTCGTTTGTCTCCTCCTCCTCCTCCTCCTCCTCCTCCTCCTCCTCCTCCTCCTCACACACTTCCTCCGCCTACCCTGTCACGTTGTCCTTCAGCTCCTTCCTGTGATCACACATCCCGTCGCCATCGACGGCCAAAACCTGCAGGGTCGGCGGCACCGGCCGTAAGGCCTCCACAGTACCTACTCTCAACGACCAGCGTGTACGTCGACCCGCATCAGGGCTCTCCCTCACGTCCAGGATCGTCGTCTTCAATGAAGGGGCCCTGGGACACACAAATAAATACACACAAACAAAAAGATGCCCCATATTTTCCCATATTTTCTGGGTTTTGTCTTCCCGCCCAATTCCCATATTTTCCCATATGGTCTTGGGAATCGACGATTAATTGTGTCTGTGTGTTTTCCCCCTCCTGATTCAAGTGGTCTTCGAACGTTCTCGAGCGAAAAAGGCCACTCTCACATCTGGCCAAGCCCCCGAATCGAGGCCTCCTACTCCTATCGGGTGTAGCCAGGACCCCGGGTAAGGGGACCCGGTTAGCGGTAGGGCCCGGGGGCCCCTCAACTGGCCAGGTTCACTCAACCAGGTTTGCCGTAACTGGTGTTTTTCGGGTGACGGCAGTTCCGGTTAGTGGAAATGGGACGGGGGGGCGCCCCCGGAACGAATCACTAAACCAGGTTCCACTAAACCCAGTTCTGCCAACGCCCGATCCTAGATGGGGACCGAGCAGATAGGGTCGGAGGATCGCGCCGCATCGCCAACGCATCGCCGATGCATCAGCGATGCATCGGCGTCGATGCATCGGCGTCGTCGGCGATGTATCGGGGACGCCAGCGTGGAGAAAATCGGGCTCCACATCGAGCCGCATCCCGATGCATCTCCGATGCGGCGCAATCCTCCGACCCCATCTGCTCGGACCTCATCTAGGAGGCCTAGACTTAGGTCGGGCGTGTCCTCCTACACTGGGATTTTGGACGACAAACCAAAATTGTCAAGACATGCCCCAAAAAAGTCACCACACAATATTCAAAACAAATCGTCCCAGACTAGTTTTTGTTTTTTAACTATTCCCCCTGTGGAGGGACAGGCCCGACTCAAGTCTGCTCGGACCCCATCTGGGAGGCCCAGATGCAAGGGCCTTGGAAGGCCATGTCGACACCTTGCGAGCGGGGCGCGGCCAGCGAAAGCGGCCAAGGATGGGTCGAGGAGGCAAGATGGCAAAGGTGCCACTGGGAAGGTTGCCCATCCTTACTATGCGGGTTGACTGTAGTGCCGGCCTGGGGGCGCGGGGAGGGGGAAGGGCGGTCTCCGAGGCGGCGCCACCGCTCCAGGTGGCTGCGCAGGGCCTCGTTCTCCTCCCGCGGGGGAGGCAGCGCCGCGCGCCGCCGCCGGCGGCGGCCAGAGACCGCGGCCGCGGCCGTGGGCGCCGTGGGCGCCGTGGGCGCCGTGGCCGTGCAGTTGCCGCCGCCGTCGTCGTCGTCGTCGTCGTCGTCGTCGTCGTCGTCGTCGTCGTCGTCGTCGTCGTCGTCGTCGTGGCCGTCGTCGTCGTCGTCGTCGTCGTCGTCGTCGTGGCCGTCGCCGCCGCCGAAGGGCTCCCCGAGGCGCCGGCCCCTCCTCGCCGAGCCCTGCGCCCCAAGGGGAGAGGGGAGGCGCGCCTCCCGCCGCCCGCAGGCGGCCCGCGTCACAGGGGCGCGCGGCACGGGCGGAAGGGCCTCGGGCGCCCATTGGAGCGACGAGTGAAAAACGGGTCTCACGCGAGATTTTCGGGTCGGGCGAAAGGGGGGGATAGCAAAGGGGGGGTTTGAGAATCAGCTCACGTAGCTGATTTTCCCGGCGCCTCCCGGCGCTGGAGGCGCCCATGTATCGAGGAATGGGCCCATCGGTGAGGCCGAAACCAGCTGCATGCAGCAAATTTCGTAACCCCCCTTTCCCAAACCCCCCCTTTCGCCCGACCCGAGATTTGAGGGATGAAAAAAATGGGCCTACCCTGGGTTACAAGTTCGTGGTCCGCGAACCTCCAGCCCAGAGAGCCGCCAGGACGCCGCACACCACGCAGGGTTTGCCCTGACGGCCCACAGGAGTTTCAGCGCACAGCGCCTCGTAAACCAGGGTAGGGGCGTTTCTCATGCCCTTGAGAGATGGCACCGCGACCCTACGCGATGGCTTACGCGGGCCACGAGCGCGGCAAGCCACGATGGAGACGAGGGCGCTCACGCGCGAGCTTGGGCGGGGGGCTCCCGCGCAGGCGTCGATGAAGACGCACCCCTTCTTGTGGCGTCGCCCACTTCGAAGCTTGTCGAGCGGGGCGCGGCCAACGAAAGTGACCGAGGATGGACCGGGGAGGCAAGGATGCGAGGGGTACCCATGCGGCTGTGCTGGCCATCGCTCTGACGTCCCTTCCCTGTGTTTTGTGTTCGGTTTCGTGCGTGGTTTTTTCGCCAACTGATCAAGGATGCTCCTCGATGGTCCTCGCCGACGGAAAGATGCACACGTCCGAGCGATGCCAAGGGCTGTACTGTCTGGCGGGGTGCCGCGGGGCGGTCGGTCGCCCTCGGCGCCGCCGTGGCCCGCGACCTCCCCGCCGCCTCTCGGCGGCAGGCGAGAGGGGGGCCAGCGAGAGGGAGACGCAAGGCGGCGCCAGCACGAGGATCTGACATCGGGCGAGGACAGATCCAGAATCTCTGAGACCCGTCGGCTCTGGGTCAAGGGGCCCAAGGACACACAAATAAATACACACAAATAAAGTGATTCCCTGCATTTTCCCATATTTTCTGAGTTTTTGTCTTCCCGCCCAATTCCCATAGTTTCCCATATTTTCTTGGGGATCGACGATTAATTGGGTCTGTGTTTTTTCCCCTCCTGACTGGAGGACGTCTCGGGCGCCGCGGCCCTCTCGGAGCGTTCTGGACCGCTCTGCTAGGTCCGGAACGCTCTGGAGCAGGTCTAGCCTCGTCCTGGCCCCGTCCGAAGGAGGCCCTCCGAGAAAGGGGACGCCTTAGAAGCCCTCGCGCTTCCCGAGAAATTGCTCCCTGTGTCTTCGGGGACGGCGCAGAGCACTCCTCGGACGGCCGGGGGACCTCCGAGCCTTCGGAGAAGGCCTTCTTCTTCTTCTTCTTCTCACTTCCGCCTCCCTCGCCGCCCAGTCTCATGCCCGGGCCGCACAATACAGTGCCGTTCTGTTTATACGTGCTCCGCGTGCGGGCCATGCATCGAAAAACGCAGGGATGCAGCATTGAAAACAACGATGAGTTCATGCATACATTTATCCATACATTTCTCATGTAGTAATACGGGGAAAACAAACCTCCCTCGCTTTTGACCACCCTCGCTTCCAAGAGATACCAAACGATGCCAAATTGCAGCCTGTACTGGTCAGGCCGCTAGACGAGGAGGCGCGTGGTATGGCTTGGTTTTGCCTGGAAGGGAAAGCGGGGTAGGTAATTCATGCTCTGAAGTAATAAAACCCATATTTTTAACTGGCGGCTGCTCGAGAAGACCTGGGCGGCCCCGGACGCCCCTCGCGGCGGGGCGGCAGCTGCTGGAGAGAGAGCGCGCCCCGAGGCCGGAGGCCAGCCGAGCAGCGACGGCGGCGGCGCCCGAGGCCCTCCCCGAGGTCGCGCCTCGGCCCGGCTGCCGGAAGAGAGCGCCTGGGACACCGCGGGGAGCCGACGGGAGCGCCCGGGAAAGCGGAGGGGGAATGTGGCACATTTGGGTCGGTTTTGCTACGATTTGAAAGATATTTGACAATTTATTTTGAGAAAGTAGATTTTTCGCTGTAAACGATTATGAGGGCCTCTGCGTGTCTTAATATGAGCTCTGGAGACGCACATTTACTATCAAAACACTTGCCGGAACCAACTTCATATCGACATGAAAAAAATCAATGCCCAGGGGCACACAAAGAAATGCACACACAGAGATCCCAAGATCCTCCCCCCTGCTTCTCTCCGTACACCCGTGGCATCTCCGTCTTTCCCCCCCCCCCCCCCCCCCCGTCTTCCCACAGGTGCCGCAGGCCTTCCCGGGAGTCGACGGTGCATGGTGTCCGTGCTTTTTGTCCCCCGCTCCCGAGAAAGCTCGACCCCCGACGCCCTCCTCCGATCTGCTGTCTGTCGGGCCCGCGCCCCGGAGGGGCTCCCGACGGTCCAGCTGGGCCCGCGAGCGGGCCCCGCCAGCCCCGGGGGAGTCCGCGCGGGCCTGCGAGGACTGCCGTGCTCACGCCGCGGCGGCGCAGCTCTGGTGAGCATCGCCTAGCCGATCCCCATCGGGAGAAAGGGGTCGGGGAGCGGGATCTTTCTGGGGCCACGGATCGAAAAAAAAAAAGTACTCCGACGGAAGGACCCCGCATGATAACCTGTTTGCCTTGCCCTCAGCCCTTCCCCCGTCGCCCTGGCGGACGTCCTCCTCTCGCCCTGAGCTCTGCTCCCTCCTCTTCCTCCTCCGTTTTCTGGCCGCAGGAGCTGAGGAGCCCTTCCCCCGTACTCGGGCCGCAGGAGCTGAGGAGCGCACAAGGTGACGAAAATTACAGGTTGCCTATCACCCGCTCGGACTACCAACATGAAGTGCGGGACCCGTCATGGCGGAGAGTCGCCGCGCAGGCCGCTGGAGGCTTAAGTTTTGGCCCAAAAATGACGACAGCTTCAGGTTGCCGATGACCCGCTCGAATCACCAACATGAAGTGTGGGCCTCATAAGGAGGGGGCTCCCGCCTGAGACTTCCTCGCAATTCACTCACAGACAAGGCTCCCGCCTGAGATTTCCTCCACACTCAAGCTTGAGGAGCCCAAAAGTGATGACAACTACGGATTGCCGATGACGCGCTCGGATTACCAACATGATGTGCGGGCCCCATAGGGAGGGGGCTCCCCCCTGCGACCTCCTCGCAATTTGCTCACAGACGAGGCTCCCGCCTGAGACTTCCTCCATACACCCTGCGAAATGCTTAAGAAATCATGGGTTAAGAAATTCATAGTCTCAGAATTTGAATGCGAACCCAACATTACTATTTAAAAACTAGGATTTACATTGAAACATTAAGAATAATCGAGATTCTGACCGAAAAAATAAGTTTTCTTAAGCATCGCCTAAGGTGTACTCAAGCTTGAGGAGCCCAAAAGTGACAACAGCTACGGATTGCCGATGACCCGCTTCGGATCACCAACATGAGGTTCGGGCTCCACAGGGAGGCGATTCCCGCCTGCGACTGCCTCGCAATGCACTCACAGACGAGAATCCCGACTGATACCTCCTCAATACTTAAGCCTGAGGAGTCCAAAAGTGACGACATGTACAGATTGCTGATGACCCGCCTCGGATTCGAACATGAAGTGCGAGCCCCATAGGGAGGAGGCTCCCGCCTGAGACTGCCTCGCGATTCACTCACAGACGAGGCTGCCGACTGAGACATCCTCAATACTCAAGCCTGAAGAGCCCAAAAAGGACGACAATTACAGGTTGACGATGACCCGCCTCGGATTCGAACAAAAAGTGCGAGCCCTATAGGGAGGGACTTCCCGCCTGAGACTTCCTCGCAATTCACTCACAGACGAAGCTCCCGGCTGATACTTCCTCCATATTCACCCCCTCAGGAGCCCAAAAAGAACAACAATTCCACGGTTGGGACGACCCGCTCGGATTAGTAACGTAAAGTGCTGGCCCCATAGGGAGGAGGCTCCCGCCTGAGGTTTCCTCGCATTTTACTCACAGGCGAGGCTCCCGCCTGATACGTCCTCCATGTGCAGGTCTCAGCACCCCAAAAGTGACGACAATTTCAGGGTTCCGATATCCCGCTCGGATTAAAAAGATGAAGTGCGGGCCCCATAAGGAGAGGGCTCCCGTCTGAGACATTCAGGCCTCAGCACCCCAAAGGTGACGACAGTTACACGGTTCCGATGACCCGCTCGGATTAAAAAGATGAGATGCGGGCCCCATAGGGAGAGGGATCCCGCCTGAGACTTCCTCGCAAATAATGATGAGCATGATAATGATGATCATTGATCGAATGATGAGGATGTTGTTGATGATGAGGATGATAACGGTGTGAGTGTGAATGATTGTGATGATGATGATGATGATGATGATGATGATGATGATGATGATGATGGTGATGATGCTGATGCTGATGCTGATGCTGATGATGCTGATGATGGTGATGATGATGATGATGGTGACGATGATGAGGATTATGACGAGTAGTGACGATGAGTGGTGATGCTGATGAGTGGTGATGATGATGATAATGATGATGTTGATGCTGCTGCTGATGGTGATGGTGATGGTGATGGTGATGATGATGATGATGATGATGATGATGATGATGATGATGATGATGATGATGATGATGATGATGATGGTGAGTGAAGGGGAGAGGGGTGGGAGGTTAGGTGAGGTTCCTGCGCGAGGTGTCCAGAGAAAACAAGACACCCACTTTGGATGTGGGGGAAAACAGCTCGGAGGATGCGTGGGGTGGGAGTGGTTCGCAGCAGGCACGACGGCGACAGAGTTCGAACTGTTTATTTCCAGTCACCACTCTCGGCCTCTGGCGAGCCAGAAAGGGAAGGAGGGAGGATCCACCCCATGGCACGAGGGAGACGGATCTTTGAATATCGTTTAACCAATTCCCGTCCCCAGCGGCGTGGCCTGGGCCCCACTGGACGATGTAGCCCCCCAGATGGGGATATGGGTCGTTCCTTCGGGTTTCGAAGGGTGTATCCCCAATTCGGGTGGTACTTTGATAGGGGTCTCGAAAGAGATGGGGATGGGGATGGGGTTCGGTTAAACGATACTGATCTACGCGGCTGGGTATGATGCGCGCAGCCCACAATACCATCGGACCTGGGAAAGACGAACAACACTTAGTAACATGAGACCCTCCGCCGGCCCAAACCGAAAAACAGTCGAGGGTGCCCTCCCCCAGGATGCACGAGAGCATCCAACAAGCACAGAGAACATGAGGGTACCCTACTCGAACCGACCTAACTCGGTCCGACTAGATCCCATCACTCTGCAAACATCCAAATATGGACAGGCGGCTCCTGCGCTCCCGCGGAGTAATCAGGGCCCCTCTTAAGTAATAACTCTCTTATCCCAAAACGGGATCGGACATTACTATGCCCAGTCCATTGCGAAAAATGGGGCGGGACGCAGGTCCGCGCAGAGTGGTTTCTACTCCACCCATTCTGCCAATCGCCAGTTATCTTGCATCCAGACCACAGGCAACTCATTGGAGCCTCCCATGCCATCTCGCTGGCTCTTCTGAATCGACGCTAGCCGACGCTACTCGACGCGAGTCGGCGCTTATCGACGCTAGATCCACAACAATCGACGCTAACACGGCGCTTGCCCATCGATTACGAAACGCTAACGTACGCTGATGCACTCGAATGATGGAAATATGACGGAGGTACGAAGCCATACAAGGCTCCCTCGATTTGCTACCGAACACGGCAGATTCGCGCCGTGCCGACTTCGGCGTTGGATTCTGACACCACGGGGATCGTTCAACCTTGAACGATCGGCCGTTTCCGAAACGTCAGATCGTTCAACATCGACCGAGCCTGGGCCGCCGCCGGCGTCCAACATTGCACGCTGGCGGCGGGGTCGCCGCCGGTCGACACGACGCGAACCTGCCATACCGAACACGATGATGTATGCTGTTGTTCGTTCCTCGAGGTGCGGGGACAGCAAGCGACCACACCCACATCGATGACGCACTCTGTAGGGTGTCTTGCGCATGCCATCAGTCGTCAGAACACCGAAAACCGCCTAGTACTCGTTGTGGTCGATGTGGGCGTTCCAGACGGCCAAATCGACCACAATCACAACCAGAGTGTTCATGCTGAGGTCTGTGGATTATTCCCCGCGGGGCCCTCCCGAAAAATCCCTCCTCCTCCTCCTCCTCCTCCTCCTCCTCCTCCTCCTCTTCCCCCTCCTCCTCCTCCTCCTCCTCCTCCTCCTCCTCCTCCTCCTCCTCCTCCTCCTCCTCCTCCTCCTCCTCCTCCTCCTCCCTCCTCCTCCTCCTCCCCTCCCCCTCCTCCTCCTCCCTCCTCCTCCTCCTCCTCCTCCTCCTCCTCCTCCTCCTCCTCCTCCTCCTCCTCCTCCTCCTCCTCCTCCTCCTCCTCCTCCTCCTCCTCCTCCTCCTCCTCCTCCTCCCCCCTCCTCCTCCTCCTCCTCCTCCTCCTCCTCCTCCCCTCCTCCTCTCCTCCTCCTCCTCCTCCTCCTCCTCCTCCTCCTCCTCCTCCTCCTCCTCCTCCTCCTCCTCCTCCTCTGGCTGCGGCTCTCCTAAAGCATCTATCTTCGCGAGGCGCGATGGTCTTCGCGCTTCCGCGCCGCCCCCCTCCGCCCCCCTTTCGCGGATGAAGATGAGGAGGAGGAGGAGGAGAAGGAGGGAAAGGAGGGGGGAAGGGGCGGAGGGAGGAGTGGGAGGAGAAGGAGGAGGAGGAGGAGGAGGGGGAGGAGGAGAAGGAGGGGGGAGCAGGAGGAGGAGGAAGAGGAGGAGGTACAGGATGAGGCACTCGCGCCTCGCTCTAAACTCGCCCAGACCGCGCAGCCCGAACTAACTTCGGCGTCGGCGTCGGCGTCAGCGTCGGCGCTGGCGTCGTCATCGTCGTCGTCGTCAGCGTCGTCGGCGTCGTCGGCGTCGGCGTCGCGCGTCGCGCGTCGCGCGTCGTGCGTCGCGCGGCGTCGTGCGTCGCGCGGCGTCGTGCGTCGTGCGTCGTGCGTCGTGCGCCGTGCGTCGTCGTCGTCGTCGCCAGTTGTGCCCGGACGGGCGGAGGGGGCGCCGAGCGGCGCGGGGGGGGGGCGCTTCGCGCGGCCCCGCGGCCGCTCCTCCGCGAGGCGGCGCGCCTCGGCCGCGGCGGCGGCCCCCGCGAGGCGCGCCGCGTCGCGCTCGCGCCCCGCCGCCTCGCGGTCCGTGCGGGCGGCCAGCGGGTCGTCCGCGGCGGTGCGCTGCTGCGCGCGCCTTCGGCGGACTGCTCGCCCCTCCGTCCTCCCCCCTCCCCGTCATTTCCCCCCTCCCTCCTCTCCGTCCCCCCCTCTTCGTCCTCCTCCTCCTTCTCCTCCTCCTCCTCCTCCTCCTCCTCCTCCTCCTCCTCCTCTCCTCGGGCCCGCGCCTCTGGGCGATGGCCAGCCGCGGCGGCTCCGCGGCACCCGCCTCGAGCAGCGCGGGCGCCTCATCCGCGGGCGGCCGTCCCCGCCCGCGGGGGGGGGGAGATGGAAGGGGCCCCGCGCGACCGCGGACGGGGCGGCGCACTTCGCCCAAAGTTGGCGGCGCGCAGAACTCGCCAGCGCTCGGGCGTCCCTTCCCCGTGCGCGTTTCGGTGTCGTGCGTGCCCTGTTTTGCCAGGGGGATCCAGGAGGTTCCTCGATGGTCCCGCCTGGAAAAATGCACACGCCCAGGCGATGCCAAGACAAGGGGTGGGGGGAGGGTGGGAAGCGTCATAGAAGGAGGTTGTTTCTTAAATGTTGCCTCCCCATCTATATATATATATACATATGTGACCCGCGCCTTCCGATGAGCAATGATGCTGCTAGGACGCCCTCCCCCCTCCCCCCACCCCCCTCTGCGTGTGGTTGAATCCTCGCATCTGCGAGTTGTGAGAGAGAGAGAGAGAGAGAGAAAGAGAAAGAGAGCGAGAGAGAAACAATGATGTTAAGATCGGCTCCGCCAATTTCGCGCGTACTAGCGTCTACCACTCTGTGCCTACTGGCGCCTATAGGCGCCTGCTTGCGCCTATCATCGCCTAGTGGCGCCTGTTGGTATCTACTGGCGCCTGCTTGCGACGGTTGGGACACGTTCGTGGCCAGGGAAAGCAAATACCCTCGCCCAAAACGACCCTCACACACAGCACGCACCAAACTTCGCGTTGAGAATCGCGACGGTTGCATTTGCGGTTTTCGGACTCGGGGGCCTCCCGCTGGCAAGGTGCCGAAACATGACCACCATCGCCGAAATCGGGATCGCCCTCCCTCGGTTGAGGCACGCCGCCGAAATTTTGGGCGCCCGAATTATCCGGGGTAACTCGGGTCCGGGGTAAGTCGGGTTTGGATTCCCGAGAAACGGAACCCGAGTTAGCCCTGACCCGAGTTACCCCTGATGATTCGGGGCTCTGGACGCCCGAGTTATCCGGGGTAACTCGGGTCCGGGGTAACTCGGGTTTGGATTCCCGAGAAACGAACCCGAGTTATCCCTGACCCGAGTTACCCCTGATGATTCGGGGCTCTGAAAATTGGTGCTGGTGTCGACCTCCAGGCCTGCGAACACACCCGACCTCGCGTTGAAGATCGCGACGCTCGTGCTCGCCACTGTCGGGCTCGGGGGCCTCCCGCCGGGCGGGCCCCCCGTCCAGGCAGCTCGGGGTGGAGGGCCGGCCCCCGGGAAGGGGTCGGGGCCTCGGGGTGTCCGCGCCCGGCCACCGCTCTGACGTCCCTTCCCTGTGTTTTTTGCTCGGTTTCGTGCGTGGCTTCTTCGCCAAATCATCACTAACAGGGGATATGTCGACCCCTATCCCAGGCTTCGTGGGGTTTCCGAATGGACCAGAAATTTGGGGCCTCACCCTGGGATATACGATGGGGGGGTGTCCATTCTCGATAGGGGTGCGTGCGAATAGCCCCCTCGGGGTGTATCCCAGGGTTTTCCCATTCTTCTGAGCGGCCAGACTTTTCGGGCGAAACTCGGGGATTGGGGGAGAAACATCGCCCGCGAATCAAGGATGCTCCTCGGTGGTCCTCGCCGACGGAAGAGATGCCCACGTCCGAGCGATGCTCAGACGCCTGTGCGGCGTCGGCCGTCCGGCCGTGCCCACCCGGCCGCCCCCGGCGAAGGAGCGCTCCCTCGCCACCCTCCCAGCCCGGCCGGCCGCCCCACGTCTGTGCGGCGGCGGAGAGCGGAGGGCAGAACATCCAGCCCCCAAATAACCACCCCGACGCGCGAAGTCGTTTCGTAAGCGCGCCCAAAGAAGGAATCAACCAGGGCGGGGCAGTTCGGTAAACGCCCAGGGCAGTTTAGTAAACGCCAATTGTCCGGACAGGTTTGTTGTTCCCCCTTGAAAGAAGACGGGGTCCCAGGCGCGATGGCGCGGTGACCCTTGCGCGGTGGCTTGTGGTCAACGCGGCACTCGCGCGGACAGGAAATCGTTTACGCGAGACCGTAGTTGCGCTGGCAACATGCGTGCGAAGGTCCGCACGCCCGAACCTTTTCTTCTACGTCGATCATACGAGATTCAAGCTGGTCCCCATCATGCGGGTGCGAAACATATATCATATATCAAATTACGTGCACCATGTAAGGTCCGTGAACAAACCGCATGCCAGACTGTTGCATGCACGCATTCGGGATCGAAAATGTCCATACCCCTCCGCCCAGATCGTACCAAGCAGCAAAACTCCGAGGACGCCCCGCGCGTGAATCGCGACCATGAGCATAGTTCCGAGGACGCGTAAAGCGGAACTCGGGTGAGTACGCTTCGCCCTCGCGGTTGCATCGGAAACACGTCCCTCGCGGCCGCCTCGGCATCGAACCTCGCACGGCTTTCGGTCTCGTGCGCCATTTTCTCTGGCGGCCCCGGTGTCGGCACCCCGCCGCTTGCGAATCCTGACCGCGACGAAGCGCGCATGGCTCGAGACAGGGTGCGACACTGCGCCCCCGCGCGCCCTACGGCCTGCACAGGTGGCACGCCCCGCCCGGGCAGGCGCGGAGCTCGCGTTGCCGCACATGTGCGCACATGCGCAGCCGTGCCACGCACGTCAATATTCTGGAGCCTGGGAGGAGGAGGAGGAGGAGGGGGAGGGGGAGGGGGAGGAGGGGGAGGAGGAGGAGGAGGAGGAGGAGGAGGAGGGAGGAGGAGGAGGAGGAGGAGTTAAATTCGCGACAACGGGCGTGATCGGGGGAAAGGGGGTCTCGCTCCCTCCCCCCCGGATCACACCACGGCGGGGGGCCGCCGGACATCCGCGGGACGTCCTCGCAGTTGTGGGTAAAATGTCGTGGCGTGATCCAGGGGGGGAGGGAGGGAGGGAGAGGACCGATCACGCCCGTTACCGCCACGACTTGTTCCCAACCCTCCTTGGTTGGGCATTCGTTCTGGATAGAGCAACGTGGTCTCCACTCCTTCCTTCCCGTCCCGCCTCCCTCTTGCCTCCTCCTGTCTTGCCTGCGGGGGGCTGCGATCCGTGAAACTGTCGCCACTTTCGAGGCCTGTTGGGGGGCCCAGCACAGTGACGCCACACGCAAATTCAAACTAGACCTCGCCATCCCTGGGGGGCTGCGATCCGTGGAACTGTCGCCACTTTCGAGGCCTGCTGGGGGGCCCAGCGCAGTGACGCCACACGCAGATTCAAATTAGACCTCGCCATCCCTGGGGGGCTGCGATCTGTGGAACTGTCGCCACTTTCGAGGCCTGCTGGGGGGCCCAGCACAGTGACACCACACGCAGATTCAAATTAGACCTCGCCATCCCTGGGGGGCTGCGATCTGTGGAACTGTCGCCACTTTCGAGGCCTGCTGGGGGGCCCAGCACAGTGACGCCACGCGCGGACCCAAATTAGACCTCGCCATCCCTGGGGGGCTGCGATCTGAGATCCCCGCTTTCGAAGTGGCTAGGGTTGCGCAGGGATTGTAACTAATCAGCTGTATCTAGTCCTTGTCCTGTTGCCAGTGTCCTGCGAGTCTCCCGAATTCCGTCTGCAGACATATGTAACCCTCGCTCCGTCATCGCCCCCCTTATGAAGTGTCCTAAACTATTTGCGCCACGCGTTTGCGCAGGGGTTGGGTACGTCGCCGGGGTATTCTATATATATATATATATACACACAAGACTGCAGTGGCGCTTCGCGCCATGCACCTTGGTCCTTGAAGATTGGTATGCAGGCGGAGATGGCAGGAAGGTCAAGCGGACAATTTTGCGATAACTCCTTGCTGCCTTTTTCTGGCATCGCCGTTATACGAATGTTGTTCGTTATCCCTCCTCCATGCTTATTTTTCCTCATTCTCGCCATACCCTGGGTATTCTCCCCATCCTCCTCAGCTCTTTTTGCGGAGGTTCCTCCTTGGAGAGCCTCTGGGGGCCTCACCAAAGTTCTTAGGCTTTCTTAAAGCCTTCTGGAGGCCTCCTGGACGTGTTCTGGGGGCCTCTGGGGTTTCCTAAGGCCAACCTGCCTCTAACCGCAGTCTCCCTGAACGCCCCGGTCACGATTTGGAATGCTTCGGAGGGTGTCTTGGGGCCATCTTGGGCAGCCATGGGGCTCTCTTAGGTCCATTTTGGACCCCTGTTGTGCCGTTCTGGGGCTCTCTTGGACTGCCTGGAAGCCCTTTCGGATGGTTGCGGGGCGACTTTGGAGCCTCCCAGGCGACTTCGGACGCCCAGAAAACCGCTGTCTTGAAGCGTCGGGAAGCCGAAAAGAGGAGAACCCGAAATTCACCAAAAACCTACATTAAATCGATAATGATTCCCTCTTGGGGCCTTCTTGGGGGTGCTCTTGGAGGCCTTTTGGTACGTTTTGGAGCGATCTTTCGGGGTATGACGGCTTCTTGGAGCGCTGTTGTGCTGTCTTGGGGTTCTCTGGGACGTCTCCGATGACCCCCCTGATCGCCCTAGGTGTGCTGTGAAGGCTTGGCAAAACGCCCTGCGAGGCCCGGGGGGCCGCTTCGAGGCCCGTCCAAAGGGTCCCAAAGCCCCAGATCCCGGGAGTCCGTTTTTTTTTTGGGGGGGGGGACGGTACGAACCCTGGTCCCGGACCATTTGGCCAAGGAGGGTTTCTCAGGAAACCTGAAGATCTAAAGATGTAAAGATCTAAATCACATGTGTCCATGCGCGGTGGGGCGGCGGGGGGTGGGGTGGGGCGGGGGGTGGGGGAGCTGGACGAGGGGGAGGGGGAGCGGGAGGATGAGGAGGAGAAGAAAGAGGAAGATGACGATCATTTGGGAGAGGAAAAGCAGAAAGAGAACGAAAAACGAGGAGGAGGAAGAGGGGAGGAGCAGTAGGAAAGAGGAGAACTTTGCTCTGGAGCGCAGTGGAGGCGGCTACTCCCAGAGAAGCGTCGGAGCGACGAGAACTCAAATACATCACTCTTGGCATTATGTATTGCGCGTGTCTTTGCATCATAAATGAGGTTGAAAAGGAGAAGGGGAGGAGGAAAAGGAGGAGGAGGAGAAGGAGGAGGAGGAGGAGGAGGACG